CAATTCCAATGCCATTTGTAGCCTTAGAATTGAGAAGAAATTGGCTCCATGCTATCCCTCACCTTGCCTGCATAGGCCTGGCCTATGATTAGGACCACTTACTAAAATGCCTGCAAATAACAATCAGTTGAGACTCAACATTCTTATGAATTGGAAGCTAACTGCTTCTACATTTCCACCTTCTCTAGTAACTCCCCCAGAACAGGGATCTGCAACCCCACCCCCAACAGACACTATCATAAGCAAACAATACACACCTACAAAGATTAAAAAGCCTCTTGCATTTTTTTTAAGATTTTATGTATTTATTTGACAGAGAGAGACACAGCGAGAGAGGGAACACAAGCAGGGGGAGTGGGAGAGGGAGAAGCAGACTCCCCACTGAGCAGGGAGCCTGATGTGGGACTCAATCCCAGGACCTGGGATCATGACCTGAGCCGAAGGCAGACACTTAATGATTGAGCCACCCAGGCGCCCCTCTTCTTGGGTTTTGCCGAGTTTTTCTTCATACTCTTCTTTTTTCAGGTCAGCTATATTTTCAAGAAGGTAAGGGAAGGTGTGAGACTTGAGAGTGAGTGGCGGCAGCTGGAGAGAGGTTAGAAAGAGAGTTATTTTTAGGAAGGCTTGGGTGGGAAGGGAAAGTCTATCTCACACGAGAGAGGGGGGCAGGTGCAGCCTGCACCAGGGGAGGGCTGGCTACCTGGGAAAGGGTTGACTACTTCTCTAGTCCCACTTACTTCACATACTCCTAATCCTTCTCCATCAAGCCATAAAAGGAAGTCAGCTCAAATGCCTGGGAGGGCAGGGGGATATAGCCAGAGGGCGCCATCTTGTTCAAGTTACCCTCCCTCTCCAGTCTTCAGGAGGAAGATTCACTCACTATAGAAAACTTGAAGTGCCTATTGTGTCTGCAGGACAGTCTATTAGGTATGACATGGATTTCACTAACGTGATAACTGATACCTGCTCTCTGTTTGCTGAGATACCTTTTGAGCTGGTAGTTTTAAGCTAGCGGTTTTTTGTTTGGGTTTTGGTTTTGAGTTTGGGTTTTTTTTTTTTTTAAGATTTATTTATTTATTTTGAGAGAGTGAGAATGAGAGAGAGAGAGAGAGAGAGTACATGAGAGGGGGGAGGGTTAGAGGGAGAAGCAGGCTCCTCGCTGAGCAGGGAGCCCGATGTGGGAGTCGATCCCAGGACCCCAGGATCATGACCTGAGCCGAAGGCAGTTGCTTAACCGACTGAGCCACCCAGGCGCCCTGGGGTTTTTTTTTAAAGATTTATTTATTTGAGAGACATGAGTGGGGGGAAGGGGCAGAGGGAGAGGGAAAGCCGACTCCCCACTGAGTGGGGAGCCCGACGCAGGACTCCATCCCAGGACCCCGACATCATGACCTGAGCCAAAGTCAGACACTTAACTGACTGAGCCACCCAGGTGCCCCATGGTTTGGGGGTGGGGTTTTTTTTTTTGGTCCCAAATTTATTATTGACCCCCAAAACTGAACTCTTCACCCACCACAGCTACTTTCTCCTTCAAATGATGTATAGTGCATACTATACCCTTACCGTGGCCATAGTGGTTTATATCTATAATGTGTGATCAATTCTCAGTTAGCCAGAACACCAAAGAAGTATGTCATTGGGGGGAGGGGAAAAAATTGGATTTTTTTGGATTAGACTAATGGTGTCCTTCTCCAGGAGGTAAGAGGTGAGTTAAACCTCCATGTGAAGAACAGGAGATTGTGAATTTAATTTGACAAAATCTATTCACTAGATTGTTTTACTTCAGTGCCTCGAATGGGTCTTAAGGCCTTTGAATTCATTGACCTTTAACTGAGTAGAATATTAACTAGAAACTTAATACTAATTATAGCTATCTCATAGAGGAGAGGGCTATGTATTATATTTGTTCTAATCATACAACAATGTGCAAAAAAAAAACCAAGAATATAATAAATACTTTTAAAATTAATGCCCACAAACATAAAACCCTTCCTGAATCTTAAATAACTATGTCTGCACAGGATGAAGGCTTATGTCTATCTCTTTTTAATGCCCCTCTCTTCAACATGTGAGTGCTCAAAAACTGTGACCCTTTCTTTATGTTAATTATTTTAAAAAATGATCACTTTAACAATGAACAGCATAATGAGAGGGCCCTGAATTTTCATTCTCTTTTTCTCTGATGCTCTTCAGGAATATCTACTGATGGAATTGCTGTGGAATATTTATCAGACCTCTTGGCCTCCGTGTCTTTAAAATGGGTATTACATCTTTACCACTCGATTACACGTATGCTTTGAAATCTTAGGATGGTAATTATTATCTTTTCCATGAAGTATCACTTACCTACTAACAACACAAATAGAGTTTGAGGATCAAACATGTTAAATAGGATCAGGATATTGATAATGTTAAAAGCAAATTTCATATCCAATCCAGGGTCTACACACTGTTTCACTCTTGTCTGTCCAGCCTTGAGCTATCCTGGCAATTAATGCTTCTTCATGGTCCATAACAATACCCAACATTAAAGTGAAGTGGACAAGAATAGTATCAGTTAGATATAATCCCAGTTTTATTTTTTTAATGAATCTTTATTTTTATATTATTATTATTTATTTTATTTTATTTTTTTAGAGAGAGAGAGTGAGGGGGGTGGGAGGGGCAGACGAAAAGGGAGAGAGAGAATCTTGAGCAGGCTCCACACCCAGTGTGAGCCCAACGTGGGGCTTGATCTCACGACCCTGAGATCATGACATGAGCTGAAATCAAGAGTTGATTGCAACCAACTGAGCCACCCAGGTGTCCTATATAATCCCGGTTTTATTTTTTTTTAAATATTTTTATTTATTTATTTGTCAGAGAGAGAGAGAGAGAGAGAGAGCACAAGCAGGGGGAGCAGGAGAGGGAGAGGGAGAAGCAGGCTCCTCACTGACCAAGGAACCCCATGTGGGACTTGATCCCAGGACCCTGGTATCATGACCTGAGCCGAAGGCAGACACTTAACGACCGAACCCCCCAGGCATCCCATAATCCCAGTTTTAAATACGACTAAGCCTTGGGACACCTGGGTGGCTCAGTCAGTTAAGTATCTGCCTTCGGCTCAGGTCATGATCTCAGGGTCCTGGGATGGAGCCCCAAGTCATGATGGGCTCCCCACTCAGCGGGGAATCTGCTTGTCCCTCTCCCTCTGCTCCTCCCCCTGCTTGTGCTGTCTCTCAAATAAATAAATAAAATATTTTTTATTTTTTATTTTTTTTGAAGATTTTATTTATTTGTCAGAGAGAGAGAGAGTAAGCACAAGCAGGGGGAATGGCAGGCAGAGGGAGAAGCAGACTCCCCACCAAGCAGGGAGCCCGATGTGGGGCTGGACCCCAGGATCCTGAGATCATGACCTGACCCGAAGGCAGATGCTTAACTGACTGAGCCACCCAGGTGCCCCTAAATAAAATCTTTTTTAAAAAAAGAGGATTAAACCTCAATAGCATTCTTTGTTTGTTTGTTTTTATTAATAGACTTTATTTTTAAAAGCAAAAAAATTAAGCGAAGTTCCCATAGACCTCTTTTCGGTTCCCCCACCATTTCCCCATCATTAAAATTTTATATTAATGTAATCCTATTCTTTTTATTTTATTATATTTTTAAAATTGGAGACGGTTATTTCTTTGGCAAAAAGTATTGGTGATTGTAAGCAGTTGGACATATTAGCTACTGACAGAAGAAGTACTTTCGTGTCATTTATACCCAGACTAAGATTAGTTTATTTGGTGGAAATTCCCATATTTAAATAGCTAATCAGCTAGCTGGGGGCACAATTTGCAACCAAACATGACAAAGAAAGCACTAAACTTGCAATATTAAACCACAGACCAAGGTTCTGCTCTTAACTGTCCCCTTGACGGGTGGCTTTGGCCCAATCTCCTAACCCCACGGAACTCTGGATTGGATTAGAAAAGCCAAAAGAGGTCTTTCAAGTTCAAAATTTCATTCATTTATTAATCCCCTGTTGCCCAAATGAGTGGCAGACTATGTCAGGTGGCTCACCATTTTTTTAAATTTACATAGCTGGGTTTTTTAAATAATGGACTTAAAAATCTAGTACCTCAAACCCATGATTTCAATAAAAATTATTCAACTGATGTCAAATTAGAGAAAACATTACCTAATTGTACAAGTAACATGGATATGACAGAAACCAGAAGTGAAGAATAACTGAATAGAGTTTGGGAACACCGGATTAATCAATGAACTAATCCATTCAAGAAACTGTGTCGAACTCGGCCTTGTACCTGAGCTCTTCTTTTTAATCTGCATTATCTATATAATCTGGCTCAGTTAATGAACAGGTACCTCAGAACCAACAGGGGGGAAAACAGTACAATAAGAAAGGTACTAGAAAAGAGAAAGGCCCAAGGGTGAGGGAGCACAGAGCGGAGCAATTAAATCTAATTCCAAAACACCTTCAATATTTCTGGAAATTAGACAAAGTCTACCCTAGGGCCAACTTGTGAATAGAGAGAAGGACTGATTAAACCTATCCTAAAGTTTTTCAGGCCATAATCATTTCCTCGTCTTATAGGGCATGTAACTTGATGTACTCACTGTGAAGCTATCCTAGGGTTTTAGTTCATTCATAGCTTTCTCAAGTCAAATGCTGTCATGGCTCTCTCTGGAGGCAGCCCCATCCCCATGGCACCAACCCCACTGGACTTCTCTTTGGGAGGAGAGAAGACATTTGACTCATTTTTACATGAAGTTTTTAAGTATCCAAAGCCTGTGGCTCTTTCTTTAATCCACATGCTGAACATCTAAGTCCAAAAAGAGTAATGCATCTTATTTGTCTTCATGACCCGTATACCTTTTTGCCCAATGCCTGAAACAAATACTTGCTGGACCAAAAATGTAGGTAAGTTATGAATGAACTGTGATCCACTTCTGCTAAATGCACACTTAAGGTACCAGTCATTCAAAATGTTGTCATGTTTCCCTTTTTTTTTTAGATTTTCCCTGTCCTATGCCTATGTGTCATAAGGCAAAGAATTTAGAGCATGTCTGCTTTCTCCGCTAGGAGTCCCAGGCTAGTGCTGTAGACCTCAGCTCTTTCAGAGAGGCGACAGAAGGCACCTCCCTCGAACAACTGTTTCTGTCATGTGCAAGCTTGCCATTGAAGATATCTGCCATTCCACGTAATATCCTGTATTCCAAGTTTCAGTGAATGATCTGCTTTTTAAGGGGCACCTGAGTGGCTCAGTCCATTGAGAACCTGCCTCTCGATTCCAGCTCAGGTCCTGATCTCATGGCCGGGCTCCCTGCTCATTGTGGAGCCTCCTTGAGATTCTCCCTCTCCCTCTGCCCCTCCCCCTGTTCTCTCTCTCGCTCCCTCTCAAATAAATAATTAAAAAAATAACAATAATCTCCTCTTTAAGTTTGGGTTGCCTTCCTTGATGAATGCCTATTGTTTCTTTGCCAAAAAAGCAAAATCTTTTTTTTTCCTTTAGCTCTTGGGAAAAATCAGTCCTTGATTGTAGTAATCAGCTTATCCCAGGTACTTAATGATATCTAGCCCCTCTGTTACTTTTATAAAATAATAACTAATATTTAGAGTCCTATGTGCTAGGCCCAAAACTACACTTTTAACCCTCACACCAACCCTACAAGGTATATACTACGATTATTCCCTCTTGACATTCTAAGAAACAGTGGCCTGGAGAAGTGAGATTTCTTATCCAAAGACCCAAAGTGAGAGTTTGTATTGACCAAAGTGAGTTATGAACCCAGCTAGTCTGATTCCAAAACCCGCACTATTCACCACTCTCCTATTTTTGTTCCTTAGTAATCCTATTTTGTTTCATGTTTTACAAATAAACCTCTCTCAAACTTTTTTTTAAGGCAAAGGGTTATTGTTCCTTAATTGATAAAGCAATATAATGGTGAGTCCTTCTGTACGTTTTTTAATCCTTTATATGGTACCCCAAGATTTCAGTTCTCAAATGTGTCTTTATATCTGTATTTTTATGGGAAGATTTGCTTGATGTGATGTTCTATTTCAAGTTATAATACACACCCATCTGTCATTCTCTTCTTGCTGTTCATGGAGTTTTGTGAATTAGGGACACACGTTTCATGGCTTCCTCCCTAAAGAATCACGCACACAGCTGGGACACCCTGGCAACCGCAAGAAAGCAAATGGTGTGCTCGAAACAACATCTTTAAAGTAGGGGACCAAAGCAGAACCGAAGCTCCGGCCTTCTGAAAGCCATTGTGCTTCTGGGGAAGGAGTCCTTGGCACAGAAATTGGAGTTTTTATCTGACTTACCAGCTCCCAGGGTTTCAAATGATAGCGACAGAGCAGGAACCCAACTTTCTAAGTCTGCCACTGTGAATTTGCTGGACACAGAGGGAATAGTTCTGAATGTGGCTTCTGTGCCCCATCCTTTCTAGGTACCTACCAGCCTCGCCATGCGAGACAGGAAATATCCTCTCTCCTCCACTTGAAGATCTTAAGGAAAGGCATGCGGTTGTAGGGTATCTGGGATGTGTTAATCAGTACCAAAGCCTCGAAATGAACGGGTTTGCAAATGATGCCATTGCAGATAAATAAGGAGGGATAAGTCCTCTTCATTTATTTGCATATGTATATATATATATATATATATATACATGAATGCGTGCGCATGTATGTATTTTCTGCTGCAGAGAAGGGCTAGACCGAAGTTGAAATGGAGGTGGATAATTGCGTACAAATGCATAATCGGTTTTTGCCTGCTATTCTTTTTCTGTTGCAACCAGTGTCACTGCATTCGGTGACTTGGTATTAGATTGAATTTCTGCTCCTGCTATGTTTAGAATCTATTTTTAACTTGGCCAACTGATTTACTATGGAGCCATGTGAGTGTTGCTATTTTTAAATATATAATAGTTGTCCCTGCAACCCATTTAAAGCCCCAGAGAAGACCATTGTATGCCTACCCCACTGCACCATACATGTTCTAGGATGTAAGATAATGATTTAAAAAAAAATTTTTTTTTACTGAGTTCCTGCCGAATGAGAGGCAACAGGCTGCCTGCTTTCAAATGTTTTCTTATTTGATGCTCAAAAAAAAAAAAAAAAAAAAATCCTGTGTTGCTAAAGACTGCTTGCCTTCCCAAGCACATTGTAACTCGACATGTAATTGTAAAGCGATGCACTAAGTGGAATGAGCACGGGCATTGATGCCAGGTGATCCTGAGTTCAAATCCTGTCTTTGTCGCTTGTTAGCTCTGTGAACTTGATCAAATTACCCAGCCTGAGTCTCAGCCTTTTCATTTGCCAAACGGGAAAATAGCCCAGTAGTTGTGAAGAAACACTGGGCTGGTGTAGTATATCAGCCACTTCGACAGCGTCTGGCACCAAACAGCAACCCCGTGAAAGGTGGGCATTGTTACTTTTTATTATTCTGAGTTCCTTCTCGTCCTAGAAGAGAAAAGGTCAAAGAGCTGGGGAGACACATCAGTTAAATGCTCACTACGCGGCCTCTGGAGCCCTTTGGCTAGGCAGTCCCGATCTGAGGGGCTGGAAGTTGCTGCGATCACCCCATTCAGCTTTGGAACAACCGCCAGACCTTTCGGTTAGGGCCTTTTGCCCCTGGGAGTCCTCACACAGCTGCTGGGACCTCGCAAGTGGGTCCTGGTAATTGTTTAACAGAATATTAGCTTTGAGCGGGTGTGTCTCGGCCTGCTTGGTCTCCATACAGCTCAGAAAGAAGCAGCAACATACACATATACGGACAGGGGAGATCCTGGCCTCCTGTGTCTACACCCCACTGGGTCTGGGTTAAAACCACTCGGTTTTCAGAATTGAGATTTCAGAATCCCCGTCATGGCGTCTGGGAGACCGACTGGATGCTTTCGGGGTCAAGGGCCAGTGGAGCTTTGCTAAGTGGTCTGAGGTCACACCCCGTGACTTTGAAACAGCCTTGGTTTGCCTAGTCCTGCTCCGGGAACTCATTATGAGAGCCTCCTCTACTGTCTGCGACTGGACTGTCCTGTTAGGAGGCACTGATACAGCTCCCCCAGTTTGGGGTAGGCGTCAGGAGTCGTGGGCTGCTGAGTTTGGTGAGGAAGGAGGCGTTTGTAGGGCCTCCCGTTCTGCCAGGAATTTCGCAAGCGCGGTAGTACCGTTGCACCAGGTAAATTAAGAGGAAGATTCCCGGCCCCGCCCCCCCCCCCCCCCCCGCCCCGTGTTTGCTGAGCATGAAATCTCTTGTAGTTTGAAAGCAGACTCTTTGGGGGCGCCTGGCCGGCTCAGTCAGTGGAGCCTGTGGCTCTTGATCTCGGGGTGGTGAGTTCAAGCCCCATGCTGGGTGTAGGGATTACTTAAAAATGAAGTCTTAAAAAAAAAAAGAAAAGAAAAAGAAAAACAGACTCTTTTATATGACTACTTCAAGAGACAACTCATTTTCTTCGGGCTATCTGAACCAACTGGAAAGAATTATGAGTCCTCTGGCACTAAATATCCACTGATGATCAACGTCTTCTGCGCAATATACTTAAAAGAAATATTTGTGGAATGTAATTTTGATTGTCTGGTTCTAGTGCTTTGCAGGTCTTAACGGACTTTCTCAAGCAGTTCTATCCTCAGGTCCTTATCCACTCCTGCAGCGCAAGGATATCAGTTTTCATTTTTCTGGCATTTGCCAAATTACCTAACACAGGTCTCTGTCATAATGTCTGCTTCATAACAGTTGCTGTGACAAGGGACATTTCCATGATGCTGGCTCACACCTAAAGACAGAAACATTTTCTTTTTTTCTTTTTTAAGGTTTTATTTATTTATTTTTCAGAGAGAGAGAGAGTTCGAGTGAGAGCACAAGCAGGGGGAGGGGCACAGGCAGAGGGAGAAGCAGACTCCCCCGCTGAGCAGGGAGCCGGGACTCGGTCTCAGGACCCTGGGATCATGACCTGAGCTGAAGGCAGATGCATAACCCACTGAGCCACCCAGGCGTCCCAAGACAGAAACACTTTCTAAGTAAGTATTTTTGCATAAAATTTCACAGACTGAAGGGCTCTCATTTTGTGATATAAAACTTTGTGAGTCATCCTTGGAGATGGTGGATTTTGGGTTTTTTTAGGATTGCATTTTTAAGTAATCTCTACACCCAGCCTGGGGCCCAAACTCACAACCCTGAGATGGAGAGTCGCTCCCTCCACTGACTGAGCCGACCCAGGGCCCTGGGGATGGTTGATATTTTTAATGTCTCCCTCTTGTGCACAATTTTCTTTGGAACACTCTTGTTTTATTTGCCTTAAACAGGCAGTCAGGATTCATGTAAATTGTTGATTGTTCATAGAATACAATCTTGTCAACAAAAATCAAATATAAAACCACAAAAATGTCTTCTATATAAAAGTTATACGGTGGCCCAAGATATTTTGAAAAACTAGATTTTGATACCTCAACATCTAAATTGAGTTTACTATCCTGTTCATTATATTTTTTAGGCGTCCGTGTTTTAAAAGTCGATGTGCTCCGTAAAGTTTTTGCAATGGGTCAGGCATCTTTTTAGAAACAACTTACTGTTAATTGGAATGGCTGGGAGGCAGTGTTTAGAAGTTGTTATAAAATAAATCTATTTTAATGTGGTTCATGTAACTGGTTTAACTCATATATATGATCAGACTTTAATGGGACTTTTCAGGGACTTTGGTTTCTTTGTTATCGAAGCTTTGAGATTTTATAAAAAGAAGCTTTCAATGAAAAGGATAGTGTTATTTAAGATTCTTTTTCCACTCCTTAGAAAGGATTAACTATTTTTTGAATCAGTAATATATGCATGGGGCACAAAATTCAAAAGGTACAAAGGCTGTATAGTGAAAGGAAAGTCTCCCTCCCTGTCTTCCACCCGCCTAAAATCTCTCTCTAGCTATAGTTACCAGGTTTTTTGTGTTTGTCTACTTTTTAAAAACCACACACAAATATTTATATTATTTAATTAATGTCTTGTTACCTTCCTTTTAGAATAACCAGGAAACCAGGAAAATGTCATAGTGTATAATCCTTCCAAAATTCTACACAAAGTCTTTATTTTACATGTGAAGCCCAGAGAAAATAAAATTTGCTTATTTTCTTTGAGCCTGGGGAAAGTCTTCTATTGCAGAGGAATATAATGACAGTGAAGTAAACCCTGCCACAGACGATGAGAGAAAGAACCAAATGACTATATTGTATATTTTAACTAAGTAGAAAATGAGTTCATTCAAGCTAAAGATCACAATAAAATATTTTTAAATTATTTGATAATTTAAGTTTTGTATATACTGCTTCATTCTCTGATTTACAAATCCCTGAACCAAAGCTTTCCATGAATTT